TTTGTCTAAAACTCAAACAATCCTTCAACATAGGCATTTTTCTTATTTTACAAACAATATAAACAATATATCTAAGGGTGTTTCAATAGGTTGCTCAGGGTCACAGGGCTGGAACAGAGATAAAGTTCAAATCCAATTCTGCTGCCTCCAAATTCCATTCTCACTGCAGCCCACCTAGCTCTCTCAAATAAATAGAGACTCCCAAATAAATGAAGAGTCTAAAGGAAAGAAGTATAAATTTTGCAACAGATAATAAAGCCAGATGTGGAGATCTCAGCCTTACAAAGGGCAGGATAGTAAACAAATTTGGAAACAGGCGGCCCTAGGAAATCCCTCTGATCTTCATTGCAAGTCCATGAATCTGATCCAGATTCAGATGAGTCTGAGAGCTCCGAGGGCTCAGAAATCTTTCTTGCTCCCTGTAGTCAGTAAGTCCACTTTGCTTCTATGCCTAGCACTTCTGATCTGATGAGGAGGTAAGTTGCAAAGCTATAGAGATGAACCTCCCATGCCCATCCCAAAGGTGCAGCAGCAAACCTGAGCATAGGTGAGAGAGGAGGCTTGGTGATGGAAATCACAGGACACTCAGGCTCTCAGACCAACACCATGTGCGCAGCCTGGCTTCAGAGCCAGAGATCCATATTCAGAACAGACTCTGCCTGTTATTAGCTGTGTAGCCTTAAGTTGTGTCAAATGATGATGCTATGTTTTCCCATTTACTGGCCATATGGGCTCAATAAGCATTTGTTCTCTTGCTCAATAAACACTTGCTCTCTGGGTTCCACAAAGTAAATACCACTATGATAAGTGGCATGAATCTACAAAAAATCACACAGGGGTTAGGGCTGGCCTGTTAGTTTAGTTGGTTGGAGCATAGAATTGATAACACCAAGGTCAAGGGTTCAGTTTCCCAAACCAGCCAACAGCCCCCCCCCCAATAAAATCACTTATCACTTAGGCGGTATACAGCTAGATCTCTCTTTTAAAAATACCATATATATACACA